CTAAAGGATGCACGGTATCTTAACGGCCGACATTTTTTTGTATATGACAAATGTTAGCTATCTGAAAAAGAAAGATATTAAATATGATGTATCCTGCAATGTTAAGGTTCATTCATGAATTATTTTTTTTTAGTTTTGCTACTGTATGGTGCTAAGTCTAACGTTTATGTTATTTATGCAGGTTTTACCAATGAGTACTCTTAACGAAACAATATGCAGATGCCCCAATCCCTCGACAGGGAGTATTTTTGCATCCACTTTCTACGTACCGCCCAACATGATTGATTTCAACACTGTGTGGAGTAAATTCGATCCTTCAAATGCAGCTGTTTATGGAACCGTTATTGCTCTTCTAGTAATATACGTCATAGCAGCGATCTTTTTACGACGGGAAGACAAAAAGGATATTGAAAGGGTATACTTATTATTGATACACTTCCCTAACAATTCAAAATAGGGAAATAATATCTTTACAATGCGCATATGTAGATTTTAATTATTTATGGCATAAAGTGAAAACGATCGCGAGCACATTGCATGGATATAATACAATAGAGACAGGAACTGAATACGAAGAGATTTTGCAAAATAAGTAGCTTTTGTTAAGGTTCTTCCTTTTGGAGTGGCATATTTGACAAAGATGAATGTCATTATTGGCATTAGACTGCCTTAGCATGAAAACAATATTTATAAATAAGACTCATCTTTTATTTTTTACCAGAGATTTTCTGTAGCCATCGTTAAAAAAAAAACAACTGTTTTATAAAACAAATTAATACCTTTCTATAAAGTTTATTTTTTAAAGAGTTAATTAAACATATTAACCTAATACTGTAGATCACTTAATTTTTGCGACACCTTAATTTCGCGAGACAGTCATTAACCATTTCTTTCTTTGCGACAACACAGTTATTTACCGTTTTTTTGTGTTTTTTTTTTTGATAATTCTTGTGACAGTGGGCCATCCATTTCCTGGTGGACAGTGACTCTACTGATGAGTATTTCTACATGATAACCTTATACTGTAGATCACTTAATTTTTGCGACACCTTATTTTTGCGAGACAGTCATTAACTCTTTCTTAGCGAGGCAAAATTTCACTAATTGTGGTTATTACTCTGTATATAGCCCTATGGAATACTTACATACGCGAAAATGAAACTTTCGAGAGCACAATGCCTCTATAATGCGAAAATTAAGTTCACGAGAATTAAATGTGATTTACAGTATGCTGACCATGTGCCATTTCTTTCTCCTTGCGACAACACAGTTATGTACCTTTCTTTTTTTTTTGATAATTCTTGTGACAGTGGGCCATCCATTTCCTGGTGGACAGTGACTCTACTGATGAGTATTTCTACATGATAACCTTATACTGGAGATCACTTAATTTTTGCGACACCTTATTTTCGTGAGACAGTCATTAACTCTTTCTTAGCGAGGCAAAATTTTCACGAATTGTGGTTATTACTCTGTATATAGCCCTAAGGAATACTTATATATGCGAGAATGAAACTTTCGAGAGCACAATGCCTCTTTTAATGCTAAAATTTCACGAGAATTAAACGTGATTTACAGTATGCTGACCATGTACCATTTCTTTCTTTGCGACAACACAGTTATGTACTGTTTTTTTTTTGTTTTTTATTGATAATTCTTGTGACAGTGGGCCATCCATTTCCTGGTGGACAGTGACTCTACTGATGAGTATTTCTACATGATAACAGTACAAACCGGCCTCAGACGTGGGGCAGGGACAAAGTCCGTGGTCAATTTTGTCCTGGCGGGCGAGGAAGACGACTCGGGCGTGAGAATCCTCAGCGACGGTGTAAAAGAGGTACTAGTGTATCTATCAATGTTTTTTGCATTTTTATTCTACTTAGGCTTATATCGAACCGTAACATAAAAAGTTTCAACGATGCATAAACACTTGTGTGTATCAATAATTAAACTTCTAAACCATGTTGCAGGGATTCGACACTGGAAGTGCAAAGAAGTTTATTATGGGTACGAAGGAGAAACTTGGTGGATTAACTTACATACGTATATGGCATGATAATTCTGGGTCTGGCGACTATCAGAACTGGTATCTCAACAAAATTGTAGTGGACGATCCTCAAACAAACACCAGGTATAAATCAAAGTATTTTCCCTTTATATTTTGATGTCAAAAATTATCAACATTGTATGCTTTTTTAATATAAAATATTTGTTTCAGAAAAAGTATTTTTTCTTAAATAATGTTTTCAATAGATATGTCTTCCTTTGTGATCGGTGGCTGGCATTGGATCAAGACGATGGACAGGTGGACAGAGTTGTCCCGGTTTGTGGAAGGGATAATCTGGTGGCCTTCAATACTCTATTTGCCCAGCATGCTCAGTTCAATTTAACAGAAAACCACCTTTGGCTTTCCCTTATGATCCGTCCAGAAAGAAGTCCATTCACAAGGGTTCAGCGGCTATCCTGTTTGCTTGCTCTGTTGTTTTTAACAATGATTGCAAACGCTATGTTCTTCAAATCATCCTCAGAGGAACAAAGTAGTAACGAAGTCCAGATTGGGTTCCTACGATTCTCTCTGTCAACGGTTTATGTGTCTATAATTGGCATTGTTTTAACTACGCCTCCCATTATGTTTGTTACAATGGTATTCAAAAAATGTAAACCGAAGGTTGAAATAAAACACAAAAATAAGAAAAAGGCCGAGGAGCTTGACATGAAGGTCAGAAAAAACATGGACATGGAATTGAAAAAGAGAGCCTTTAATGGCGAGGATTTTTTCACCAAAGATCATCTCCCGTTACCACACTGGATGACTTACGTTGCTTGGGTCGTCGTTTGGCTAGCTGTGATAACATCGGCATTTTTCCTCATTCTCTACAGTATGGAATGGGGGAAATCAAAAGCGGAAGAATGGCTTTCTTCCTTTTTCCTTTCATTCTTTGAATCCTTGATTTGTGTTGATCCTTTGAAGGTATTGTTATGTTTTATTCTTTCAAATATTTGAAGAAAATACAAATGTTTGACACATATAGAATTCAGATCATGAAATAATTTCAACAATTATGCAGATAAATTAACTTTCATCTTTACTTTATATTTTAGGTAATAATAATAGCAGTTCTACTTGCAATGCTTTTCAAACAACCGGCAGATGGTGAAACTCCTAAGATGGATTTAAACAAGCTGAAAGCGACGGCTTCTCAGTACAATGCCGGATCAGAGCGCAGTTATATGGGTAAAGATATATGCGTATATGATATTATAGTGAGAATAATGTTTCATCAGTATGTTTTGAGCAGATATGTATTGTATAATTTATACAAAGAGGTTAGATACAAGTTTAACTTAGCACCATTTATTCCTTCTAACATATTTAATGGTTGCTACTCTATGTTTAAGTAAAAATATGTGTTGAATGAACGAATAGTTCTATAAATTACTTTAATATAGCCTGGTGAAAATGCCATACTAAAGTAAAGACAATATTTTTGATTTAAAGATAATCATTGAGAGACACATTAATATGTTGCAGCTTTCGTAAATGGAATATTTAACAAATCAGAACCGCCGCCTCAATCAGATCTGGAAAAGCTCAGACAGAAAAGAAAACAAGAACTTAAAGCACAGGAGGCGCTGATGAACCTGATATTTTACGCCGTCTTCATGTTTGTTATCTACAGTATCAGCTACGTTGAGCGAGACCATAGAGCGTTTTTCTTGAAGTCCAACGTAGATAATTACTTGGTTGGACATGGCAATGGACAGCTAGGGTTCTCAGGGGTATATATAATGCTTCTCATTTATTTAAGGAATGAAGCTTATTTCAACTTTTGTTATAAGTTGAAAAAAGCTTCATTCCTTATAATTTAATTTCAATGTAGACAATGATATAATTTTTCCAATTTTTCCTTCGGAAAAAGCCTTCAAATATAGCATATTTTAAAAGTTAACGTCCAGCGGAGTAATACGTTTTTGACGTAACTCATTGTGACGTAGGCAAGTTATGTTATACAAAATGGATAAAACCGTTTAACCAATCAAATGACGTGTTACAACTGAAATTAAATTATTAATCAAAGCACTTACAGAGCATTTCAAAACATTTTGTCAAGTTTAAAACACGATAAAATTCCAGTCGGTAGAAGAAAAAGATGCCGGATTATCGTAGATGCCTGTCATAGTCGCTTTGGATAAATCCCATTTTTGAAGATAGAAAAAAAAAACTTCATATCAAAATTGATTAAATTACACCTTTTTATCAGTAGAGTTAAACCTTCCTTTTTATTTAAAACATTTTTCAAAGGTAGATGTCTGCATCATTAATGGTAGTTTACATCAGTTACCAAATGATTACATGTATTTAATTTTGGTTTAATTTATTGCATTTGATGTAGGACCTATCTTCACTTTGAAGTAAAAATTGTACTGTGAAATATGCTTCACACAAAATAAAAACATCATTTATTAACAGATCAACAAAACTGCCGACCTCTTCTCTTGGTTGAATCAGACATTCATCCCTACTTTTTACCCTGAGAACCATTATTCCGGTGCCAGTCTGGGAGTCCAAGATAAGAAATATTTTGGGGATCTGGCAAGTATTCGTGTAGGCCCTGCAAGACTCAGACAAGTCCGTATGACTAAAGGTATCCAATAGATTCTAGTACTTTAAATCACATGAAATAAAATTCTCCAATTCATGCTTTTTTTTATTCAATTTTAAATTTTAGTTATGCAATAATGTACTCAAATTTAGTTATACAATCTAATTAAAAGATTTGATAAATATGTGACAGATCAATTAATGTACAATGTTTTGTAATAATAGCAGTTTTATTGCTATATTTTACTTTCAAAAACGACATGAAAAACAATGAAGCATTCATGTTTATTTTTAGGGGAATGCGATTACCAGAAATTAACATGGCCACGCTATTGTGTCGATTACTACAACATGTATCAAGAAGACGAAAGAGAGTACTGTCTTGGTTGGTACCCATATAACGCCACTGTTTGTGACACTAAAGTTTATAAGGACCAATTCCAAACGGCTGCTGCATGGAGATTTACAAAGTCCATTGACGTCTGGGGTCTTCCATTAACAGGCGAATACAATACCTACGGAGGTGGTGGATATATCCTTAAATTACCATCAAGTAGACTTGCAGCCCAAATTCTATTGAAAGAACTTCAACACTACAACTGGATTGACAGAGGAACACGTGCTATTTTAGTGGAATTTACTATCTACAATCCCAATGCTAATCTGTTTACATATGTTACTTACATAACAGAAATAACAGAAATGGGTGGTTCCTTTACCTGGACTGAGACAAATCCATTCAGACCGATTGTTTCTCTCAATGCTATGGGAACGTTTGCTATCATATGCTATTGTGTATACGTTTTGTACCAGCTTATTCTAACTTTCAACACGCTAAAAGGGATTCGAAGGGATGGACTCTGTAAATACTATAAGGTGGTCTGGAATGTAGTGGATACGATATGCTTGATCTTGGGATACAGTGCTGTCACAATCTTTATTCTCAGACTGTCTTACACGAACCAGGCAATGGACGTATTTTACGACGACAAGCTTACAGGAGAAAATAATTTCATCAATTTCTTTCATATTGTCGTGTGGGACATGCTCTTTAACATCCTAATGTCCATACTCGTGTTTATTGCAACACTGAGAATATTAAGAATCCTTGGATATAACCAAAAACTGACGGAAATAATAACCGTTGTCACTAATGCAGCTAAAGAAATCATTGGTTTCGGTGTTGTTTTTGGAATGGTATTTGGGGGATACGTCATTTTTGGGTATCTTATTTTCGGGCGTTCCCTTTACGAATACAGAAGCATTTTCACTTCTTGGGGAACTCTCACTAACGCTTTAATTGGCAAGAACAGCTTGGATACCATGATCAATGCAGCCCCACAACTTGCACAATTTTACTACTTTACATATGTTTTCTGTGTCCTTTTCACGCTTATTACCATGTTTGCTGCTATTCTGAACAAGAGTATTACCGAGGTCAGAAATGAATCAGCCGCACAAGGAGATCAATTTGGTATTGTTGACATGCTGACAAAGTCTTTTAAGGACATCATTGGTATTGCATACAAAACTGACGGAACAATGTCTAAAAATGCAGAGGCAAAGAAAAGTAAGCGAATATTAATAATTTTATAGAAAATTGTATTCATGTTAGAATTTTTCAAGAGTTTACACATCAATATCAGCACTTAAAAAGAGTTTTTGAACAATTTTTCAGCGATGTTAATGCACATCATACGAATATTTGCATGCCTTGAAGCATTAAAGCACTTTGTTTTATTTTTATTGTAACATGTATAACATTTTTAGAGCTTAGAGCAACAAAAAGCGGCAATTTTGACACCTGATAGATGAAATCATCTTTTTTGGAAATGATTCATTACTTTTACAGAATACATGCAAAGTATTGGTATGAACGCTAAGTTTGATGCTCCTAACATTCTGCGACTGGTACGCACTACCCTAGGTGAAGTCAACAACGGAGAGGTGGGTGAACTGTAGATGGAGAACACATTATATTGAAACCTTTTTTCAGTTAGATTACACATAGTATTACATGATGTACAAAAAAGAGACTTCAGAGAAATGTTGGCTATATGATGTTTAACTTTTTTTGGGTAACTTTGAATTAAACTTTCGTAGTCTTTCATTGCAAATCGACAAAATCACTTGGATACTTTATGCAGATCAAGTCTATTAAAGGCCTGCCTGCATATATATCTTACTTTTGCATAAAAAGGGGGCAACTTATTTTTAATAAGCGTAGTTAGAGAAGGGGAAGCCAGTTGTACCGGTGTTTATGTAAATTTTAGGGTGAATTGCTAACGGTACTAGACTGGTGAACTACGCACTAGCTACCTAGCACGCACGTACAGTCCTAACAGGATCACGCTTAAGGGACTCCGACCCTCAGCCAGGAAGGACAACTCTTTAATTTATAATTTAATTCAAAAAGTCTTTAAATGAAGCTTGAAAATTAATTCTTTTCATGCAACAATTTTCATTATATGCCTCTCAATGTGCTTCAAGGTTCTTTAAACTTCTCAGAAAGGTCTAATTTAAAATAGAAATTTTTATCCCGAAAAAGCATTTTTAGATACCAAAGTTCATTAACATGATATGAAAGTAGAAGTGATTTATGGATCTTTGCAAAGAACCTTGAAGCACATTGAGAGGCATATAATGAAAATTGTTGCATAAAAATATTTAATTTTCAAGCTTCATTTAAAGACTTTTTGAATTAAATTATAAATTAAAGAGTTGTCCTTCCTGGCTGAGGGTCGGTGTCCCTTAAATAATTCACGCCTGCATGTCGGATGAAGGGATTGCTTTCACTGGCGTACTTTTGTCAGTTATTGTTTAGTTGTTTCGGCAAAGAAACACTTTTGCACAACATCTGATATTAATCTTTTAAGAAATGGGTTACCATTAATATCAGAATAACAGTGCCCAATTTGCTACGGAAAATCCCAATTACCTGTATTGTCGGGCACACGTAAAATAGGTTTTGCTTGTAGTGGTATGGGAGGATTTAAAAAAAAAAAAAAAGATCGAGTTCCTTATGACAATTTTCTTGTTTTGCTTAGGGAGACCCAAAATATCTTCTTAAAATGTAAACGTTTAAATTTTTAAGGGATTGGAGAAGTTTCGGATAAGGGGAGGTTATACCCCAGGTGCAACGGGCGTAGGGACAGACAACCCTTAATTAATATAATATTATACATCCATTGCAACTATATAATAAATCTATTTCGGCGACTTAAAATATTTTGCTGAAAGACAAGACATTCGATAGTTGATCATCCTAAGCATGGCAGATAGAAAATTGATTTGAATTTCTTCTGAACAATCTTAATGTCTACTTAAGTAAACAAGCTCTTTTAAACTTTTATTTTTAAAGCGGAGATCAAACAGAATTTCTTTTCTTTATTTTACATCACTTACTATAATATACGAAAAGCAGATTATCCAAAAAAGATTGAAATACGGGGCCAAATCTTCATACAGGGTCTCTATTGGCTATCCTTTCTCTAAAATAAGTTTACACAAGATATGCAGGGAGTTATGTTTATGGAACAAATGAATGCTGTAAGAGCGGTTAAAATTCAGTTTATTGCAATTTATCTTAAAATTCTAGGAGTTCGATTATTTCAAGAAGAAACAGATTCGATAATTATGGTAAACGTAATTTATGTAATTGATGGTTGTTTTCAAATTTTTTGGTAAAAATGTTTATAAAATTTCATCTTCATTCTTACATCTCTGAGAAAGCATGCTATGGGAATGTCATTGTTGTGCATCAATCTCCTTGTATAAATAAATATGTCTTTATAAGATTATTGTTGATATTTGCATTGATATTTGCATTAATTTTCCTGGAATTTTGATAAAGAGCTTCAATAATATAATGATATACTTTTTCATGAATTATTAATTGATAAGCGAGAAGAATTACTTAATATATATGTATATGAGTTAAGGGATGAATGTTTCTCTCAGCACAGCTAATCATTGAACAATGCATGACTTGCACACAGCATGACAATAATTAGTCGAGCTTTGAACAACTTGCTTAATGTATAAATTTTGGATCAACATTCTTTTGATCAAGTTTCACTTCCTACGTCAATGTAAATTTTTTAAATATTTATGTCGACTGAAATATTCTCTCATTGTTTTTTTTTATCGATCGTACTTTGTCCTTCATTTCTGTGTTTGCTTAAGTAATTTAATGAGATGTGGACCGAAAAACGGAAGATATTTTTCTGTCTTATTTTAAAGTTTTTGAATTTGATTATTTATTGGCAGCATTTAAATATTATAAAATACTAGTATCTATGTTTTAATACCGATTTGCCATTTTTTGAAATTCAGCAACAACACATGGAGAATTCCAACTCAGAAAGCCTTCTTCTAAATAAGTTGGATCCGGACTCACAAAGTAGATCTATCTCAAGGGCATCCGGAGCGGAAACTCCAGGGGACATAAGTCTGGCTTTCTATGATACCAAGCGTTAACTATAACCTCCGAAATCTTCTGTAGATTTTACTGACTTTAGTCATTTATGTCTGCATTTGTTACATATTCCATTCAAATTACATTGGTGTTAAAGATGACTATATTTTCGTATTGTTAATTTGAATTTCATTCCCGGATGCAAATATTTACATTGACTGACTGATATTGATTTTTAAAATTGTTTTCTACCTAGAGAACTACTGTTTTTACTGCGAAACAATATGCATTATTGATTAAAAGAGTGTGCCAGTATTTTCTTACATAGCACGTATCTATCTATGTACTTTTGTCATGTTTATATAGCAGAATAGTCTGTGTGTAAGAAATGTTAACGTCTTATTGTTTTAACATTGTTAGTTTCTTAAAACAGCGATTAAAAAATTGTAGGAATTTTAAAGAAAAGACTTGTTTTAAGTAAAAGAATCAGTGATTGTATTTCCATTTGACGTCAAATCATTACGCTTTTTCTAAACACTTGTTCATCACCAAGAAGCAGTGGGTTCTGTGAGTTTTCTTTCTTAAAGGTGTAGAAATTGTAATTGTTTTACCGCCACCATCCATTTAATTTGAATAGAATAAGGTATATATTGCATGTACTTGAAATTCGCTTTGCTCTAATAGAAGACGACCACTATAATTGGTGATAAACATATGATGTCTCTTCGAATTTTTTTAAAAAATAAAACACTGTGATATAATTTGTACATAGATTTGCAATAAATAACTCAAACCGACTTCTCTTCACCGTTTTTCTGTGTTTCTTCATGTTTTAAGCACATGGAAAAAGAACATTAAAATGTTGCAAAACAACCTTTATCAACAACCTAAACAGCAATAATTACTTCATAGCCACAGTTCCTAAATATGCCCCATTTTGTAAAAACTGAATGCCTAATGTTATAAAAGAATAAATCTTAATAGCCACATGTAGCATTCAATTCTTCATGATACCCACTGATTATTTGCTTCAGGGTATTGGAAACCTTGAGCTCTGGAAATATGATTGTTATACAGAAATTCATTTTGTTCCGAAGTTATATAATCTTTCCAGTAGAAACTGAAAACTTCAAAACCCCATTACTCGCCATGCTCACATTCCAATAAAGGGCTATTCCTAAAAAAGCAAAGTAGCCTAACTACAACAATATATCCAAATTTTCCAAATATAAGCAGTATGGGCATGAAAACTATAGGACATTTAACCACGTCGACGGTCGCTCATTTGAGCACTAAATTTGGCTAGGAAAAATCAGATCAGTATTAAAGTTTTTTTATATATCTATATCTATAAAAGATTCTAAATTACAAACGTCCCACTGCGGGAGGATTATTCGAACAAAATTGAATCTGCACTTACGAACACCTTTTTTGCACTGAATGTTTAATTCGAATTATTTCCGACACGTTTGATCTATTGTGGCATGGACATGTTAAGAACAATCTTGAGGACGTTTTTGAGTTAATAAAACTAATTATGTTCCTGTTCTTGAGCATTCATGAGCACTTCGGGGGGCTCGTACCTCGCACACTAATTTTGAATAATGGAGCTTATTGGAGTTAGCCGAGGCTGATTGCCAATTGGTTCTTGAGAAAAGATTTTAAATATTTTTTTTCTATGTCGTCCTCTTTGTAACTTAATTCGATCACCTTTACTTACCCTTTGCACAAACATATTGTGCGGTAAGTTCGGTTCAAACTGGTTTATGGTTATTGAGAAGAACTCAAAACAGTTGATAAGACATGCTCATGAGCACCAGCTGGACGAGCACCTCATTTCAACCTTTGACACGGGTAAGCTAAAAACAACACTGAAAAAATTGAGAGTCAGCAGACATGAGATATATAATTTTTTGTGCGATTTAAATAACGCTGATTCTTTATGACTGTATATGCACGTATGTATGGCAATGTATATCGATATATATATTAATTAATTTGTTAAAATAATATTGAAGCAAATATGGGAGACGAAACAATTGCCGTTTCAAGGCTTATTATATCAAAGGGGAATCGATCATAAAAATTTTGATTGAACAGAAAACAGTCTGGTTCACTCAGGAATAGAACAACATTAACGAAAGAGAAAAATCTTTCAGCATCAAAGATTTCATAAAAATGATTTTTTATTGTGTAAAAATCGGAAGTGATAAAAGAATGAGAAAGGCTACGTAAATAATATATCATCCGTTCCAGCAGACAATTGGTCTAAAGCATTTCCGTTTTTGTTTGTTTACAAGGCTCATTTTTAGCCGGGCTTATTGCTCAAAAAGCAATTGCCGGCTTATGTGATCCTGTTCAACGCAGGATGTTGACCCCATAGTCGCCATTTTAAAGTTACGTGCAAAAATATAGTTCTATACTCTCTACCGCTTTTGAGATAATACAAACGCTAAATAAAGCAACAAAAATAAACCGAAGTTTTATATCTATAAAAAAAACATTAGTCGTAATGACTTTGAAAACTTCAGTCCGAAGTCAAAGAACACATTTCATTAGCGTAAGGATTTTTGATAATCAGTGTTATCGTAGTTCTCTACGCATACGAGGTAATGCAGGAGAGGGAACCAGACTGGCCTGTTTGTTTACATTCAGCTGCGGTACCAGATTAATTCTGATTCTGACAAATTCGGACCGTGGTATTAGGATTGAAAAACTCACTGTCATTGTCTTATCATTTATATTGATAGTTTTAAAATAATTTTTTCATCAGAATATAAACGTGATTCGTGTAAGAAATTCATTCTACTCTGTGAATGAGCCCGGCTCTCTGTACTTCTGAGTACTTTGATTTATAACTGTTTTATAACTGTATTTAGGAAGAATGTGGTTTAAATCTACGCCTGGAAATCCAACATATACTGATAATTCACTTGCTACGAGCAGGCACTCTGAAATTAGCATTACAAGGATGCTGGATCATGTCTTGCAATAAACTGTAGGAAAACCAGACGAAACTGCGTTCCTTTGTTAGCTAATTTGGTTATATTCCCAATGAGCAGAATTTACAGAAATACATCTACATGGCAAGGAGAAAAACACTTATATTCTGTGGCCTTCCATTCGATCATTCAGCAATAACTTTTGTTGAGAATTGGTGTAAATTAGATATGGATACTTAACTTAAAAATTCAAAGATACTTTTGGAAAGTCATACCGGTATATCAAAATTTTTTACCACCTTAAAAATTAGATAAATAATTTAAAACATATTTCAACTCTATATAAACAACTATTCCTTACGATAAATTTTACAACAGAACTTACGACTAAGACCAAAAACTTCAGATGATTGTAAAATTTTGAAAAATTAATAATTCTCTTTGAAATTGTTTGTGTGAAAATATCTTAACACATCCCTTTTAAAAAGTTTGAAATAATTTTCGATAAAATGTTGATTAAAAAATTATAGGAAGAAATAAATTTGGTCTTAAGTCGCAAGTCCTTCTGTAAAACGGGCTTTTTGGTATTTTTGACATCCCCCTTTTCAATAAAAATGGAACTCATAAATTTAATTATCTTGACAATGGTCATTTGCTTCAATGGTCATTTGTAAAATTATTTTGTTAAAATACATTCTAATTGTACATACAAGTACTCTGATTGAAGTTGATATTAAAAAGATGCTTGAGTTTCTTATTGACAACATCTTTGCAATGTTTGGAACCCAGGTCTTCCAACAATCTGTGTAAATTCCTATTGGTACATGTACCCATTGCGTCTCATTTTTACCAAACCAAATTAGGCTCAGCATTTTAACACACAGAATTATCTATGATTTGAAATTATGACAAGGAGAACACGGCTGGTGTGACCTGTCGGCAGGGAATGCTCTAAATGTCCTGGTTACCGCATGAGAGTTGTAGCTCTGTCCCGGATTTTTATTGTTTGAGTGGGCTTTTGAGCTTGAATACTGCTGAAATCCCCGTCACACCGGGGCTGCGTCCTCACGGCGATTGCACGGCGTCTTCAAAAAATGCAAAACGCCGAGGTGAGCGCAGTAGAATCTGCTACAGTGCTGTGATAACGTTACGAGATCTCCACTGAACGCAGTAGGGTCGCGTAGGGTCTCCTAGATCTTCAGAGGATGGCGCGCACTTTGGACATACATAAAGTACGCACCGTAGAAACATACATGTAGAACTAGAGCAAAGCTCGTTGCAAAGCAACGAGTAGGTCGTCCGTCCTGTTTGACCGGACGTAACTTTAATTTTAAAAAAAGAGAAAAATGACGTCTGTAATAATTTAAATCTTTCAAATCTATGTTAAAAATTGCAAAAGTAAGCCATTTTTTGCTACTTCCTGTTTGACCGGATGTGACGTCGACGGACGGAAAATTAAGTTTTATGTTTCAAGTGACAGATATTTCTCAAACACATGTCAAAAACGACAAAAATATGCAAGCAAGATCTCATCTATATCATAAAGCGCTTAAAGCCTCTTTCAAATCATACAAAGACCTAAAAGCTATTCATCCTCCCATCAAAACACTCAATACTACATCTTTTTGATCACATGATAAAGCCTATCGCATTATTTGGCTGTGAAATTTGGGGAACCCTTACAGCACGCATACAAGATAAAAACAAACATTTATACGATATTTTTAAAGAGTGGAAGGCAGAAAGCTTAAATATCAAATTTTGTAAATATCTATTGGAAGCTGGGAAAAAAGTACTAATATTGCAATAATTTCTGAACTGGGAAGATACCCTATGTATTTTTCAATAATTCAAAACATCTTATTATACTGGCATAGGTTGCAATCAAGTCCAGAATCTTCCCTGTTACATAAAGCATATACAGAAAATATTAACCTTAGTCAAGGCAATATTAACTGCTGGTACAAAAATGTAATTTATTTCAGTAAGAAAATTAATCTCTCATTACCAGAATGTAAAACATACAAAATCACATTTAAAAAAAAAAAGTTAAGAAACATTTGAAAAAACATTTCCTACAATATTGGAAAATGAAACGTGAAGAGGGACTTGACGCTGGAAAACTTACTACTTATTTTATGTTTAAAGAAAATTTTACAACGGAAAAATATATGTACATCAAATCTCATGAAATATGAAAATCCATATGTAGATTTAGAATAAGTGCTCATGACCTAAGAATTGAAAAAGGCAGATATGAATCTGTAAAAAATAATGCTGGTCAAAGAATTCCATTGGAGAGAAACAAAAGAATATGTTTAATGTGTAACCAAAACAATATAGAAGATGAATATCATTTTCTTACTGAATGTCCATTTTATACTGAGGAAAGAGATAAATTTTTTCGTGATATCTCATTACTTAACAAAAATTTCATATTATTATCAAAAGGAGACAAATTTCTCTGGTTAATGTCTAATGAAG